TTTAAATTGTACTTAACTTGAGCACTTTTTAAATTGCACAAATCTTTATTTATGATATCTCTATTTCCTAAGGCCCCTATGGATACCAGCCTTGTTGCTGAATGGGCTACCCTGGTAAAATAAAGTTACTAAAAAAAAACACTGATGTTCAAACCATGCAGTGGAAGACTTATAACAGTAGGCTACGCCTCTCATCAACCCGGCACTCTTTTCAGTTTATTAGTCAATCACTCACGGCTACAAGGTTTAAACATTCAACCTGTAAAACGGGTTGTTACGTTTGTCGCTGTTTGTCGCTTTCCTTTCAGATCGAGCCACCAATCAAAAACACTGTAGAGGACTATAGAGTAACGACTTAAACTCGAGAAGCGAATTACGTAATATACGTAAAAATATATCCCAGAGAGTTTTTTTCAATGACTACTACATCGTAAAGCTAAACCTAATTGAAAATGGCGAGACGATGTAAAGCCCCTTTCAAAAGGACATGAATTTCAAGTCGCGAAATGTGGAATTGGTCAAAGAAAGCACCCTTAGTGATCGAACATGACACTATGGCTAGTCAAACGTCTAATACTAATTCTAAATATTGATGTTGAAGTGGTCATTGAACAAAACTCTCAAAAGAATTTTAACTATATGATATGCTTGATACAAGACATACTTATAATGCTTCATAGAAGCTACTCGTTTCGTTCGATTCAACAAGCACGCTGAAATCGAACAACTTTATCCCCCAAAATCCCGCCCCGGGGTCACAAAAACTCTCTCCTGTACTCAAAATTCTCTCCCTCATGCATCGAAAGTCCTCTCTCATTCCCTCTAATCCCTCTTTTGTTCCTTCAAATACCTCCCGTGAACCTTTAAAACCCTTCCCTTCCTCAGTTCCCCTGAAAACCTCCCCTGTTTCCCCAAACCCATTCCCTCCCTCTGTGCCCCCGAATTCTCTCTCTGCATCCGACAATACCTCCCCTGTGGCTTTAAATGCTAATAGAAAACCCTCCCCTGTGTTACAGTATCCCTCTCCAGTACCTCTACAGCCCTCTGTTGTACCCCTTTGTTCTTCCATCTGCCCTTCAGACCCCGCCACATCTACCTCAACTGAACGAAAAACTGTAGATGGTGTAATTCCAGGCTTAGAGAACTTTGTGTTCCTACCCTCTGTAATCCTGCCCACTGGATCATAGCCAAGGATTGCTGTAATATCCATGACGAACTCGTATGTGTATTGTTTTCCTCGAGACTTCTCCATCATTGACTTTCCGTAATAATATCGAAGACCTCGGGACAGCTTTTTGAAATTCATGGCAGGCTTTTTCTT